CCGGCCACTTCTCTTCTTTTAGTGGCAGGTGTTGCTGCAGCTCAGAGTGGGGCCAAAGGTTTTCCTTTAGAGAACGGGATTTCTGGAAAAGTCTTGCAGGCCGTTTTGGCTGTGAAGGAGTCCCGCTCCTTGGCCCAGCCATTGCACTGGGAGGAAAAGGTTCTGGCACTCTGACGGGCCTGCAGGGAAAGATGGAATCATTATCACATCTTCTTTCCTGATTAAAACAGAAATTCATTCTCCCACCAGCAGCCACTACCCACTTGCTCCTGGTATGCAGGTTCCCTGGGACTTGTGTTGGCCGGATTCTTCTCCTTCATCTGCAATAGCTGTTGACTTTTTAAAAATATCAGAGGTGATCTGGATCGGATTTCCTCGGCTGGGCCAAGGCATTTCACATGAGCAAAGGGCTGGGAGCAGAGTGCTGCGTAACATCTCCCCGGCTGCAAACTGCTGTCATGATGTGCTGGCATGGATTTACCCCTGACCTAATTCCATCCCCTGTCATGGTCAAGTCCGGTCGGTGCCTAATGCAGGGCTTAATTTCTGCACTTCTCCGCCACGGTGTGGTTCCGTTTCCGTCTTGAGAAGTGCTCGGTGGTGCTGGCCGGACCAGCTCCTTGGATGTCCTCCTGCAGCACAGATCCAGGCAGCTGCTAAGATCCAGTGCCTCTCTGAGAACTCAGCACAGCGGGCAAAGAGGGAAAAACCGCCCCCGTTCCAGAGTGGAAACGGGGTCCACGTAATAGGCCTTGGCCATATTAAGACCTTTCTTGGGCCTCTTGCACGACAGAGACAAATGTGGATCCTATTAAAGTCAGGTGTGAGAGAGGCTGCAGCTGTCTGAGCTGAGCACTGGACCGTCTTAAAGGTGCTGAGGAGTTGTGTGCGTGTGTGTGTGTGGATGGCTGTCCGTAAGCAGATGGCTGGGGTTGATGTTGGAGGATCGGTCCGTGTCCAGAGAGTGGCGTGGCCAGCTGCTTGACCTTTGCGTGCAAGAGGACGGCTGGCAGAGGGAGCTCCAGTGCAGCTTCGCTTGGGAGGAAAGCCGCGGACGGGGAGCCAACACTAAAAAGACCCTCCCTCGCGTTTCCACCACACATGCCTGATGGAGACTGGCTCAGAAAGGGGCCCTCCGGGAGATCTCCAAGACTGGGCAGGCTGACCTTGGGGTGGCATCTCCCATCCCATCCCATCCCATCCCATCCCATCCTTCTTTCTCCTCTTCGGCTGTCATGAATGAAACGTGGGAAATGGTCTGGCCGAACAGTCCCTCTTGGCTCATGCCCCCTCCCAGCCCTGAAAGCCCCGCGTTGCGATGGGCGTTTCTTCCTTCAAAGGAGCTGATAATTGCGATGGGTTTTTCCTCCCTCGGCGGGGGAGTCCACAGGCCCATTTCCACCGGCACCAAGATTGCTCCTCATCGTTGTTGCTTAATTTCAATTAGGCCGTTTAATTTAAAGAACCAGCCTTGCACATGGCTAGTTCGGCTTACGGCTTCTGCGGTGCGCTCTGCCAGTGTGAAATGCGCCTGGCCATCACGCCGCTCCATCCCTGCGGTTGCCATTGTTACGGTGCCCTGCTGGAGAGGTACCTGTCTCCGCCGGCTGCGGCTTCTGGCACAGGTAGCGTCCGCCATTACGCTGCCCCTACCGCGCCTTCCTAGATCATCAGTGAACGCGTTAAAACATCTCTGCTCCTGGCAGGAAACGGCTTTTCTGCCTTTCTTTCAACTTTCCTGCTTTCAGCTGACCTGGGCCTGGCGAAAGCTGAAAAGCCGTTCGCTGCCTGCCAGCTTCACGGAGGAGTCGTCCGGCGGTGCCCACGCGGCCATGAGTAACTGAAACATGAAAAGCGATAAATTGTCTGGTGCGCGTCTCCCCCCACCACCTTCCCTAGTATGTTGGTAGCGTTTTGATTTAATAGTTGGACAAACACAAGGGTCTATTTTATTCAGCGCTTACAGGCCTTGGGGCTGTTATTCTTCCAAATTTAATAGCATTGAAATTGCAGGGTTTGCGATAATTTGCCCATCACTTTCTGTGCTTCCATTGATGTTTATTGTCAGCGGGATGGAATCTCGATCCGATTCACTTAGATAACATGTCTGTTAAACATTTAGATAATTGTGCCATCATTAAGTTGTCACATTATTTTAGAGATTCAAAACAGTATCGTGGTAAGTGGAGGTGCAAGGAGGGGAAAGACAGGGAGCCATTCAGCCATTTTTGAGAGCAGGTGAAGTTGACCACGCCGTGGCTTTCCAATCGGCTTTTTCTTCTGTGCTGATGGCACTGGCAGTTGAAAAGTGTCTGCGGGCACCATTTTGGGAAGGCTCAAATGGACATTTATTTATTTATTTATTTATTTATTTAGGAAGCTTCTATGCCGCCCCATTCGCCGAAGCCTCGGGGCGGCTCACATCAATAAATAATCACAATGGGCTGGTCCCACCATTGGGCAGAGTAGGGCTGAGGAGCAGAGCGCATGGACCTGAGGGGGGGGGGTGCACCATGCCCCTAGCCTTGCGCTCCCCCACCCCAGTTACCTTCTGTCCTCAGCTGTGGCAGACAATGATGCCCCCTCGCCACTGTTAAAATCCAATCCAGTGGCCGGTCTGGCTGACTGCCGGACGTGGACTGTGCAGCAGCGGCATCTCGGCCTTCACGCCAGGCAGCCAGGTGCCCTGGCGAAGAGGAAGAGGCCCTTCCACGCAGCGGGACTGCGTACGGAGGCAGGGAATGGGAGCCCAGAGCGCCCCCACCCTTTTTCAAGGAGGAGAAACCAAAGCCAGCTTCCTGCATGACTCACCTTGACATGCAGCTTACAAAACCACCCCCTGGCAGGGGTTCCTTCGGGCCGTGATGCTGAGGGAACGAACCGGTGGTCCAAGCCCCCTCTCTCCTCCACACATTCATTGGACACGTGGAGAAGGCCTCCCGGAGCGTCCAACAGCTTCTCCTTGGGCTAAGGCTTCACCCACCGAATATCTCCCAGTCTGATTATCGAGCTGAAAGTCGTGTTTTCGAAACAACAAAGCCATTTCTTAACCCCAAAGCTCTTACGGGAGAGAAGGCTGACCTCGTTTGCTGCCACTGGCTTGTGCCTGCCGCTCTTCTGACTCTCCCTCCCAGCCAGCAAAAAGTTTGCTTTGTCTTCTTTTTTGCCCTGTGGCCAGCCAAGGCCTTTGAGAAACCCACAAGAAGGGCTTGAAAGCCTCTGTCTTCCTCCAGCAGCTGGTAGACTGCCTCGGATCACAGCTGTTCTTCGTCGTAATTGTGGCTAATGGGCATTGGTGGATCTGTCCCATCCACCCCCCAGGGTTTGTTTAATCCTTCGAAAAAATAAAACTCATCGAAGTTACAGGCCGTGGCCACATCCTGCAGGAGCTAATTCCATAACTTAATGATGTGTTGTGCGAGGAAGTGTTTCCTTTTGTCATCCCATCAATTTTGCCAAGTGGCCATGAGTGCCCACGTGATGGTGAGGACCGTCTCCCTGCTGTCCAGCCCTTCACGCCATGGTATTTTTTTATAAAACTCTGCTCGCTGCCTCCCTGCCCCCTCCCGCAGAGTTGCCCCTTCTTCAGACCCCAAAGCCCACGCTCCTCAGTCAAGGGCAGACACCTCGGCACACTGAAAACTTCAGCCTTTCCTCTTGGCATCCTCTCTTGACAAAAGCGAGCCTCCAGCCTCCACGCCTGACTTCAGGCTGAATGGTAACGGAGTGCTTCGTTATTTTAAAATGCAAACCAAATCACTACTCATTTCAGTCCTGGGATTTTGCTCACGGACTTGGATCTGCCTTGTGGCCAATCCAGAACTTGGTTCCGTTCATGGCTGCATGTGAATTTTGCTTTTCCTCATAAAACACGCAAGCATGCCCGTTCAAAGCAAGCATAAGTCTGCTGAACATATTTGCAAACGGTTGAACTTTGCGTTCGTTCCGTTCCTGTTTTCCTGCTCAGGTGGCGCAGATTTAGGGAAACTTATGCATTTCTTCCGATGGGTCACGGTTTCCCATCCGTGCGGAGCGGGCCGTGGCCACGGATCGAAATCAAGCCCGAGATGCGTTGGGGATTCGGCCATGCCCAGCCCTGCCCGCTCACCCACCCGCGGGCCATTCACTCACCCATGGGAAGCTGGCACTTCGCGAAACCTCGCTCCCCGATGGCGTGTGCAGGCGCCTTGTTCTCCCCCGCCAACCCCCCCCCCCAAACCAAACAAATGAACCTCCCTTCCTGGGCAGCGTACGCTTTCCATTACTGCTTCACAGTACTCTGGAGAGTTTTAAGATAGCAGCTTGATTAAGCTTGTGGGGAAAGTACTATCAGCATGCAACTCCGCAGACAGAGATAATGTACTGTTGGCATTAAGTATGTTTAAGGGTAATTATCTTTCCCCTATTCATATTGGTTACATGAAAAGAAAAGCGGGTAGAAGTTACGGGTGTTGGGCTATGCTGGCCCTACGCGGAAGAGGGAACGGCTGCAAAACGCCTCGGTGGCGACCATCGGCCCCGGTGAACTGCCGTTCCCTGCCAGCGTCCCTTCCACAAGCCTAGAGGAAAGCTCTCATTCATGGCCACGGGGAAGGGACTTGAACTGTCAGTCGGAGTCTGGTGCCAGGGATTGGCCACTGCCTCTCCGCGCAAATCGTTCCCGTCTTCTCCTCGCCTGCTGCAGGTGCCCAGCAACCCAGGTTACATAGGACGCTCCTTCCCCACCGTTCTGCCGGTCAGCTCCCAGCACCATGGGCATGTTTTTAGCTCAGGATCGCCCAAGAAAGCATGCAAGAGAGCATAGTAAGAGCCCTGGGGTAGGGCATCTGCTCATGTACAGAGTCCCTTGCAAGCAGAGGCACCAGACAGCCATATGGACTAGGAACCATGGCTAGTTTTCTCCTCTTTGAATTTGTCCAGTCCCCTTTTGAAGCCATTCGAACTGGTGGCCATCAACACATCCCATGGAAGTGAATCCCATAGAAACCATAAGCTGCATGTATCTCGTAGAAGGGCTTTCTTTTATCTGACCCAAATCTCTCTCCAGGCAGTTTCGTGAGATGGCCCCCTACCGCTTCTAATATTATAGGAGAGGAAGAAATATGGCCCACTCTCCATTTTCTCCACATCATCCGTAATGTCACACACCTCTCGCTGGTCTCCCCTTCCTTGCCTCGTTCTCTAAGCTAAGCAATCCCAGATGTTGGCAACCTTTCCTCATAGGGGAGGTGCTTCCTCCAGCCCCTCAATCATTTCTCTTACCCTTTTCTGCCCCAATCCTATAATATCCTTGTTTAGCTGCAGTGGAAAGAAGCGTCTGCAGCTTTCCGTATGTGGCTGCATCTTAGATCACTATAAGGGTAATTCGGTGCTGGCAGTTTCAGTTCCAGTCGCTTTCCTTACTGTGCCCGACGTTGACTCGTCTTTTTCACAGCCCCCGCACACCGGGCTGCCATTTCCGCCAAGCTGGGCACCGCAATGCCAAGATTTCCTCTTTGAATGGTCACTGCTGGCTTAGATGCCCTCCGCTTACACCTGAAGTTGGGGATTTTTGCCCCAGCGTGAATAGTTTGGTGTCCTCAGCAAACTTGGCCACTTGACTGCTCAGTGCTAAGTCTAGATCATTTTGAGAATAGGTTGGAAAGCACGGGGCTCTGTACAGGTTCTGATATCATGGGAGAGAGGCAAACGAATCTCTGTTTTCCACCATAAAACTTGGTAGACCCAGGGAAGGGGCTGCCCTACCTATTCCAGGGCTTTCCAGACAAGCCTGCCAGGCAGTTCTTGCATTAAATTTGCCAGCTCCCTCGCCCACCTTACTGCTCATGTAATGCCACGAAAGCTCACCTTCCAGTGTCAGGGAGCACTGGTGGAGCTTCTCGCATAGAACTTTATTCCTCTCATCTCCGAATTCTCTCCTGTGACGTTAGACTGATGTATTACCAGAATCTCTTGTATTTCCTCAGGTATATTTTGTAATATGTATGGAAATCTGATCTGTTGGGCTCTTTAAAGAAAAGACATTTTGCATCGATGAGGGGAGGATGGCAGTGGAACAGTTTAAAAAAACTAAACTTGTCTGTGTCTTGTCCTCTGGTCATTTGAATATGTGGGGCTGCAGACTTACACACATGATGTAAACCTTCATATTTTGATCCTGCGTTGGCAGCTACGGTAGTTTAAAGATAGGTTAGTAATAGCAGCAGTGGACTTGCTAAATAAGGCTCAGTTTCTTCCACCCCACAGGCAGAAAACTATCACATAATCTCTAACATATGAGCAGTATAAGTCTTGTTTATTGTTGGATGCTGATGTTGATCAGAAAGATTTAACCAGCCACTGAAGAAGCACAGAGGGCACTGTTTTAAAGGAAATATATGTTGCCCAGGAGTTGTTTACTGGATTGAAAAAATATCCATTGAACTTGGCACAAAAGGAGTGCTAAAAGAGACACCAGCCTCTTTGGGAGCTTTTTTTCAGCAGCTCAGGCAACCTCTGGAGATGCCATTGGAACACTTCGCTTGTGGCTCCTGGATGGAATAGAATAAATTGAGCTGCATCTTTTGCCACATCCATGTAGCTTTTCCGGCCTCCTTGATCTTGAGATCGCAACTCGCTTGATTTCAGGCACTCCTCTCCTTTGCCTAATAATTATAACATCTGAGGAATCCCTCAGGAAATGCTTGCAGATTTTGGGAGCTTTCGTTTCTGCTGAATAGGTAGGAATGTGGCTTCCTTTGGACATGAAGCAACCAGCTCAGTGTAGGTTCTTTCCCACTTCCATAACCTTCTGAAATGTTCTGGAATCACGGCTGCAGAGGAGGGCTTGTCTTCGTGCCCCCCGTTGGGATCCCACTTGGCCATGAGGCAGAGCTGATGGAACTTTTGCTGTGTCGATTTTACGAAGCGATGTGCTCTTGATAAATCTGGAGTGCCTGTCTTAGGAACTTTGTCACTCTGTGGTCATCAAGGTGGCTTCTCTTACTGCAGTCAAAATCTCTGAAAGGCCTGACATTTTAACTCATGCTGAAATGCTGCTTCACTGCCAAACACAGAAGCAAAACAAAGATCCAAGATGCGCTCTCTCCCGGAGGGTGTCGAAAAAAGTGTTACTATAATTATGCTTCTCTTTCCACAGAGCCTGGCCCCAGTGAAGCTTGCAGTTAGGGGTGGGTGAAAAATTGCTTAGATTTTGATGTCTGTGTATCAATTTTGCACCTCTGAGGCCTGGAATCTTGTCACAGATAGGGTAATATTTACATTTTGAATTTTGCAGAGCAGTTGTAAACACAGGTGCACTCAAAAGAGGCATATAATGGAGGGGGAAATACACAAAAATGTGCATATTAGAGGAAATGTGCGCAAAATTCCACTGTATTAGGGGAAATTGCTTGCAAAAATGTGCATATTATGAAAAGAATGTACAAAAATGTCTTTTGAAAGACATATAAAGAAAGATGTGTACATTGAGATAAATGTGCATGAAATATTTATGACTATTCATGTGGATTTTAAAAAGCAAGTTTGCAAACTGATTTAGAAATCAGCTAGGGTAGACGTAAAAATCAGGTAGAAATGAATGCAGGAAAAAGAAGAACTGACTAGAATCTAACCTGTCACATTTGTCTGTTTATACTTATAATGCACACCAAGGTGGAATTCTAATAGGGATGTGGGAAAGTGTGTATGATAGACCCTTTCGGCCTCAGTGACTGATGGTGCAGTCCAGGCGCTTCTCCATGGAGGCTGGGCCCAACAGAATTGCAGGTAGACCCAAGACCTGGTCAATGACTTTAAAGATGTAGAGCTCCCAATTCAGGAACGCTTTTTATGGATCTGCGGAAGGTTAAAGCTGAAAACAGCTGTAACCGAGTTGCATGCATTGTTATCACCCAATGTTAGGTTCTGGCTTTCTGGTAATTAAGCTATTTTGTGGGGTAAATCAGATGAGCCTTTGGAAGGTGTGGGTTTAATCCCTGTCTTCCCATGCAGCCGTGGGAAACGTCTGCTGTTGACTTCAGGGGCTGGTGAAGGATCTGTGCTCTTCACTTTGGAATTGTCTTTCATTTGCTTGGGTTTGTTCGCTCCTAGTTTGCAGCCAAAGCGGTAGGTGACACAGAAACCCCTCCAAACTCATGTGATGCCCTCTTCACATTCAGTGATAACATTCAGTCGCCCTCCACGGATGACCTTTCCTAGCGTGATGGACTGGACCAGCCGGGGACAGCCGTGATCCAACAACTTCTCCCTGGGCGGCCTTCAGGGAGGCACCGCTCGGCAGCTAGGTGCTGGAGTAGAGGCCCCTTCTGCCCTGGGTCCCATGTGCCCCAGCATGCCCGGCTGATGCAAGCCCTGCTCCACCCTGCCAGCTGGGCTCAGGGGCGAGGTGAGCGAGTCCTGAGGAAAACAAGCATTGCTCCTGTAGTAATGCCTACTGCGGACGAACGCGGGGAGACCGCAGGGTCTCTCCCCTGCCATCTGGGGCAAAGAGCCTTCGCCTCATTGTGCCTGAGATGTGCTTGTGGAGGAGCCAAGGGTGGAAGCTGGGACCTGACGTCTGTGGAGACGTCTCCATCCGCAGGGAGGCTTCTTCCAGGTGCTTTGGGGCATAGGTGCTCTCCGGGTCATGTAGCTTTGTCCATGGGAGCGCCAGGCATTTGGGGGGAACCTGGGTGGGAAGGGCCGGAAGACCTCCGCACACGGAGCGCTGGTCCCGCAGTGTCTGCATCAGGGCCTCGCAGGCTGGAGCAGGTTTTGGCTGCACTGGGACTTGGAAGGCCTGGCGTCAAATCTCCACTTGGCCGTGATGCTCAGTACTTGCAAAGAAACCATGGAGAGGAAAGGGGCACCTTGAAGGAAAAGGTGTGCCAGATATTGAACAAGTCCAGGAGTAACCTCCTTGGAAAATATTAAAAAACAAACTGTAGGACCCCCCCGCCCCCACCAGGAGGCCGTTGTCTACTGCTGTTGTGTTGGCCAAGCGATCTCCACCCCAGCCCCATGTTTCAGGTGAATTCTGGGAAGAGGAAGCTGCCTTTACACTAGAGTAGTCCTCGGAACAAGTTGTTCCTCCATGGCTCTAAAGCCAGCACTCTCTGTTCAAATCCCCTTTTCTCCATCCGGAAGATGCCCCGTGATGTTACTCATTTATTTATTAAATTTGTATCCTCCCCCTTCCACCAAAAGTAGATTCCTCCATTTTAGTTGCCTTCCCCCCATTTCCCCTTGAATGTACCTCCCCGGCTCCTCGCTGTTCTCTCTGGAGCGGAGCAGATGGAATCACACAGGACAGCGCTCAGTCCCCTGCTGGACGATTTCTCGGCTCACAACCTGTCGTGAGAGTGCCTACGGCCATTGAGCCAGCCGCACCTTCTCCCACCAGCCAGTGACGTCGGCAGCTGACCCCAGGAGCTGTTTTGGGAGGTCCGCATTTCTGAAAATCACCCCACTTATTTTCGGTGCCTAAATATGGATCTGCGAGGCTGGCCAAGTTGTTTATTTTCGCTCGCGTTGGCTCCCAGCCGTGCTTCGGGGTTGTTGTTTCAAAGCTGTTACAGTGAAGCCCTGGCCCCGTGTAACAGAATCTTCCTGGCGTAACTTGAAAAAGGGCCATTGGTGTGTTTACAGAGGAACAGAAAGTACCGGGCTGGTGTCTCTTTTTGGAAAGTCTCCTTTCCATAATCAGAACCTCATGACTTGCAACTGAAATATTTTGCTGCGTGTTTTGGCTCGTGTCTGAAAATGAGATGCCTCGCGAGCCTTCCTGTCACAGAAACAGCTCTCGCCTCCCGAAGCTGTTTTGGCCAGCCGAGCGCGAGCGCCAGATAAAATGCGAAGCGGGGGGGGGGTGCCGTCTTCCGCCCATCAGGCACACGTGCCGAATTCCAAGTCTTCCCCTCGTGGCCGCAGCGCTTCCGGAAGTTTCTTTAGGGGTTCTGCTGCAGCCTGGAGAAGCAGGCTGAGTCCCGGCGGGCAGAATCATCTGTACCACATCAGACTCCGCAGAGACAGTCACTCGCTTTTGAACAATCACCTTTCATTTCTCACTTACAAAGCGCCTAATTTTTGTCCGAGTGCTGCAGGGTGAACGAAAAGGTAGCAGCAGTGGCTGCAGGCCTGTCATCCCTGTACGGTCAGGGCTGGTGCTGGAGCTGGCAAGTTGGAGCACCCGTGAAGGTGCAGGGGCCCCCGGATGAGATCCTGTGGATGCCCCATCCCCGTTCACCCTTGTGACCTGCTTCTTTACCTTCCTCTCGCTCTGGGCCTGGCAGCGCAGGGGCCCCTGCAGCCCCCTTGCCCCTGGCCCCCTGCCTGCCTGGGAAGCAAACGGGAGCCACAGGGAGGAATCGGAAGAGCAGCAGGGCCGGTGGTGGCCGTGGCTCCAGGAAGGGAGGCCCAGAGAGGGACACGGGTCATGCCGCGGCCCTCAGGCCCCTGTGCACAGCCATGCGAAGGACCTCCTTCCACATCCAAGTCTGCAAATACACGGATTCGTTCTGTTCAGGCATTCCAGAGGGGTCCGGAATGGTCGGGGCCCTGCTGCACGCTGCGCCCTGCCCAGCATAGACCGGGGTCTTTTGGCTAAATCCACCCAAGAAAAGAAAGAGAGGTGCGGGTCTTCAAGGATTACAAGTGGCAAAGTGCAAAGACTGAGCCATCCAGGTTCTCTGGATTCCGCTTTGAAGTTTGTTCCAACTCATGTCTGTAACCAAACTGTATGTGCTTCGTTCGTTCATTCGTTCATTCTCTCTCTCTCTCTCTCTCTCTATTTCTCCCTTGCATGAAAAGCTGTGCCTATTTTAGCACATGTTTTCCTAATTGTACCAGTCGGATGCAGTGTAGAAGCAGACACATGCCTGCTCCCATTTTAGGGGGTGTTTCTTTACGTGTTTCTCACCCGCACCTTTTCTCGGGTGTGTTTTTCAAATGTGTGCATCTTCAGAACACGTTTTTGCGATTCTGCAAATTGCCCCCAAAGCAAAGAAATGTGCAGATTTTGACTACCAATTGAGTTTGGGACTGCTTTTGGGCCTGGGGTGTGTGAACTGGGTCAACTCTGGCCAGAAATAAATGATATGCATCTCTGGAGAGGCCTCTAACAGGTTGCCAGAACAGGCCTGTGGCCGCCCTTTTGTGTTGTTGGCTCTCTGGCGCACCCTGTGGCTAGGGTAGAAAATGGCCAGCAAGGTCTCTCATGGGACCCCACGTGCCTCTGCCCCTTCCGGTATACCACTGGGATCTTTTGGCAGGGTGGTTCTCTCAGACCAGTGCTAGAAATGCGGCAGCCGCGGTTGCATCCCAGAGCACCGGGGTTAGCTCAGGTTAGCAGCGTTACCCTCTGGAACTTTTTGGCTCTTGTGGGTTTACAGCATTCCCTGCTCCCCAGTTCTGAGCGATCGCACAGAGGCTCTTTGTGTGGCTGTAATGTTGCGTGACAGCATTTGAAACGTGAATCTGAGAATGGCGTCTCAACACGGGTGAATCTTCCAGTTTTCGGTGCAGAAAGGAGAGGACAGGGCAGGCAGATTCTGCATTTTTAACCTGGGTAGCAAAGTTATGTTTCCAGAGCTTGAGTTCTCTGGGGCTCTAACAAAAGCAGAACTGCTTGAACGGTGTCATGTTTTGCCTGGAAAATAAATCATGGGAAAATGTGTAAAATCTATATTCTCTATATCTCAGAATCTATATTCAAAACGAACAGTGAAGGGCTCAGCTTTAATTTTCCCCCTCTGCAAATACTATTTAGGCAGCGATGAGAAAAGCCCCTCTCTCGCTAAGCTACAGAAAACCTTTCTTGTCCTTTAATTCTAGATGAAGGGGATTAGTGTGAACATATTTAGCCTCTGACCTTCAGACAAAAGCATTATCAAATTTAGTGGCCAAGTGGGTCTCCATTTAACTGAACTAGTTCTGTATCTTGGCATACTTTTTCCCCCTGAAGGGGAGGCAAAGTTCAAAACTCCATTGTTAACTGAGACGCCTCTGTCATTCGCCCTTCAGATTTAGATTCAGATTTGAAATGGTCATTAGGACAGAGACGGGGAAGAAGGAAGAGCCATGCCAGCCCTGTCTTAAGTTTAGGAGATCTGTCCTGAGCCTGGAAAATCAGCAGGAAAACACTCCCAGACAAACAGAACCCGCCACCGTCTCTGCCATATCAGACTCCCATGTCACTGAGCACGAATCCGTCCCTCCACGGCCCCCCATCCCTTGCCCCTTTGCGACACGTCCCCCCTTTTTCTCTGGGGCGAGACCAGAACCTTTGGGCATCTGGGGTCCTGCTGCCTAGGGAGGGAGGGAGGGAGAGCGAGCGAGCGAGCGAGCAGGCGAGCTCGGTGGCCGGATCCACACGAGGCCCCGTGCTCCATGCTGTCTCCCCCGTTTCCAGTCCTTCCATGGCTGCCTGGCCACACGGACCACCGCTGGTGCGCGCTCTTTGCCTCCCCGTTGCCGGATCCCGGGGTGAACGCGGAGCGGAGGGGGCCCCAGAGTGGAAGCAGCCACCGGCCACGCCGGGCGCCTGAAGCCCCGAGCTGCCTCTGTATAAATTTGTGCTGCAGTGTGTGCAGCTAGCTGGTCAAGAGGCTCGCTCCCCGCCCCCGTCCACCGTAAAATATCCCGACCTGCCCATGGAATGCCCGGAGGGGCCCCTCTTAAGCCGGTGTCCATTTACAGTTCATCTCTCATAAACTCGGCCACTGGGGCAGGGGCGGCAAGCCCTCCTGGTATGTGATTGATTATCTGGTATTTATGCCATTGAGGGGTTTTCAGCGGCTGGGGGTCAACGGGTCATCTCATGTGTCCTGCTGCAAATCCGTTTCCTTTTGTACAGTGAGGGGCTCGGTGAGCAGGCACACAAAAACTACCTTTTTCTTTTCCTTGGGAAAAGGGGGAGGGGGCCAGGCCAGTGTCAATGATTTTTTTCAGCCGTTCCTGAATAGCGCCCTTCTTAATTCTAAAGAACTTTAATTAAAAGTAGCAGGGAAAAAATCATCTTGACGAGGTTTAGCTTACCTTAACAGTTATTTGTGTGTCCTGGGACCTTTGAAACCCACATTTGAGGTGCTGGGGATGGGGGTTTTCCCCCCCTCTGCCTTCCCACTAACTAATGAGTTTGTCTAAAGTTTTAATTAGTGCTGTGTTGCAAGCAAGACAAATAAAATGATGCAGCTGGAAATGTAACAGAAGAAAAGAAAAGAAAAAAAGCACTCAGTCGTAAATTCTGCTTTCCTTGAGAAGCTAATCCACCATTCTGGCATCCGAGGGAGCCTTTCGTTTCTGAACCAACACGAAATTCCTGCAGGCTTCCGAACGCCAATTCCCTTTAGCAACGTGGAAAGTATATTTCTGGTCCCCGTTACTGCGGCCAGGTGACAATTCAGAGCCCTGTGCATAATACCTTGGTTTTCTGCCCACTAAGTACATTGTTAGGCTGCCGATTTACATACAAGGAACACGGCACACGGCTCCGTCATGCGGGGCGGCCGGTTTGCAAGCAGCTTGCAGCACGTGCAAATTTTATCTGTTATGTTTTCCTTGGATTTTGATGGCCACTTGTGTGTGTGTGTGTGGAGGGAGGGAGAGATCGTGAAAGCTGCGTTCTGGAGACTGGCAAGTCCGTTCAGTGCAGGGCCCGCAAGGATGTCCAAATAGTTATCCCATAAATTGCTCTCGGTTGTGGAACTCGGCAGTCGCTAGATCAACCCATGGGAGCCTGCCAGTCACTGTCCAGCACACAGCAAAAATGGTCCCCAAGGGCCGCAGGCGAGGCCTCTGGTTGGACAGGGACCCTCGTCTGAAGAGCTCCAGATGGTGGCAGTGGTGGGTTTTTCCTTTTTCTTTGTTAATTTTCATTTTGCTTGGTGAAATAGGTTCTTCTGGGCAGGCCAGCCGGGCTGTTTGTCCCCGAGGTTGTAAGGCCTCAACAAGCACAGACCTCATGCGTGCCTATGTTTGCTGCTGCTGCTGCGAGCATCCCAGAATAGTGAATGCCACCGATCTTTCACGTATCTGAACTTCCACTTTGTAAAAAGAGAGAGAGAGAGTGATTGAGAGAATGATGCCAGGGTTTAAGACAATCAGTTCAAGTTGTGGCAACCCAGGCTCAGGCTGGACATCAGGGAAAGCTTCCTCACGGTCAGAGCAATGCGGCAGTGGGACCGGCTGCCCGGAGAGGTGGGGGGCTCTTCCACATGGGGGACATTCAGAAGGAAGCTGGGCAGCCACCTGAGTGGGATGGAGTGACGTGGTGCCCTGGAACAGCCGGGGGTCGGACTCGACGGCCTTCATGGCCCCTTCCCAATATACTATTCCATGATTCTATGAGAGAGGGAGAGTTTTGTGGTTATGCAAAAAGGTTTGGAGGCCTTTGGGCATCCTCTAAAAACTCCGAAGGGCAGAGGGTTGTGTGCCAGTTCAGGGTGAAGCTTCCCGCCTGGGTGGCCAGCCTGAGTGTGACTTCCTTCAGCCTCCATCTTTCCTCTGTGTGGACGGGCGCAGAGCTCTGTGAGCCGCTGTCATTGGAGAGAAAGGAAAATGAGCGGAGTAAGAGAAAATATAGTGTGGGGAGAACCCCCGCACCTCTGCCATCATCCCGCCCTCCAGATTGTCCGTGGGGGCACCCTGGTCCCCAGACCAGGCATGGCTCTCTCCTCCCCGTTTTATATTCTCCAAGTCTCTGCAAGAACAACCTCCTGCAGCCACAGGAGAGCTGTGGCCCAGCTCTCTGAGAGCAGCTCTCGACCTGCTGAGCTGTGGGTGCGCTTTGTAAACCAAACCCAGGAGCAGGTGGAGGTGCGCTGCCACATCGGTGTCTGAAGTGGCAAAGCCTGGTCTCATTTGGCTGCATTTTTGTACCGGTCCCCGGACTGCAACGATGGGATAGAGAGTCCTATTTTTAACTAAGTACCTCATCCTGTTGAGAACCAAACAACAATGTCATGCGTGGAGCACATTCAGGGAAAGAGGCTGTTTTTCTGCATGTTAGAAATGCTGGTGTTCTACTTGAAGGGAAACACTTTAAAAGGCAATTCAGCTTTCTTCCATCTGAAGATGGAAAAAAGGCCAGGATTCGCCTGCCTGCAGCCCTCGGTGCCACTCTCCCTGCTTCTTTTGTGATGTGTGAATGCTCACCCCAAGCAGTGTAAGAACATGGCCTATTATTTCTGCTTTTATTTCCTTTGCCAGCTTCTGTTGAGTCAATACGCTTGGTGTTTTCTTATTATTTTTTCCATTTGAGGAAATTAAATTTCGTAATTTTCAAAGAGGGCGATAAAATTCTTCTGCAACTGAATTTGGCCTTTCCAACACCACCAAAGCTGATTCTTTTTTTTTTCTTTTTTTTATGAATGGGCCTTTAGTTTAAGGAGGGGGCCATGTGTTAAGGGTGTTTTTTTATTAAGCTAGGGTCTAGACCAGGATCTGATAAGAAGGTGATTAAGGCCCTTCGGTTCCCACCTCACTTTGGGCTTTATCTGGACTGGGAAACAAGAAATTTTGCAAGGAAGATCCATCATCTTGCAGAAAAGTTGTAGGCTTGAAGGCCAGGATGCAGCGGCTTGTTTGATTGCTGGCCCCATTTTGCAACACCTCCCCCCCACCCCCCCACCCCGCCCCAAGAATCAGTCAGTCTGGAATAAAGCGGAGCTTAAGAAAAGGAGGAAGCCTCACTTTCGGCCACTGCTGTGTTTTTAACCCAATGGCGTGTCCAAGGGTCCCTCTTCTGAGATAATAGCGTCCTTTGACATAAGCTCTTGGCCCGCTCTGTCTTTCATATTGGTGTAAAGACTGAAATATCCTTGTCATGCCTCTTTGTGCATCTAAATATAGACCTGCTTGTGATTATGTTGCAGCATCGCTAAGCTTTTTCTTTTCAGCGGCTTGGCCAGATGGGACTTTACTTTTTCCCCGTTTTGCTCTCGGTAAGAACAGTCTAAGCAAACTCCGGTGAACGATCCCCCTGCAACTGTGCAGGGCTGGCTGAGCCCCCAGAGGGACCCGAGGGACCCGCAGTCCTGTGAGAGGCAGGGGAGCCGGCTGCCCCAGACCAAAGCTGGGCTTGGAGGCCGAAAGTGGCTAGTGTGACACACAGGCAAGTCTGCACAAGGCCTGCAATGATGTTCGTGCAGCTGTGCACACCGTCATTCTGCTTGTGTGACTGCCAAGACCCCAAAGTAGTAGTAACACGCCAATAAATAACACAAAACAACAGTAATAAAATAAGCATAAATAACAGAGAACCAGAGTGGTGTAGCGGTTAAAAGCACAGGAATGGGGGCTCAGCCTGGTTCTAGTCCCCACTTAGCCATGGGGCTGACTGGGTGATTTTGGGCCAGCCACAAACTCTCAGCCCAACCTGCCTTGCAGGGTTGTTGTTATGAGGGTAACATTGAAAGGAGGAGGATTCTGTACGACATCTTGCGTTCCTTGAAAGGAAAAATGTGGACTATGTATAAATAACCCCATCATCCAATTTCTGCAAATGAAGGAATACGAAGATTTGTTTGTTTATGCATGGACAAAAGAGTCAGATATTTCCAGAATCAGGGAAAAATCCCCACTCTAGCTCACTGCTGCTCATCAGAATGGAAGCACCCAATAATAATAATAATAATAATAATAATAATAATAATAATAATAATAATAATAATAATAATAATCAGGGTGCAATGGACAGGAATGCCCACGTCACTCATCTCCAGCGAAAACTTTCAGGTGTCCAGTTCTCACTGGAGGAGGAAGGAGCAACCAGGGATCCCTCCTCAAAGTTCATTTGCAAAGGCTCCATCCGGCTCACCCCCATTTTGTTTGCTCTCCGTTTCTTTGGCTCCTTTGCACAGCGAAAGCGCACGCTTCGAGCAGAAAGGCTGTGCATTCCTTGACTGGAGCCGGCCTGCATTCTGCAGATGTGCTCAAAATATGCCAGGATCATAAATCCAGAAACGTGTGGATATTTTTCAAGGAAACACTCTCCCCCTGGCATTCTCCCATGTGCAGATGGACTGCGGATTGAGACGAGATGCTTGTACTGCTGCACGAGGCAGGTAGCCTATTTGGTAGCCTCTGACTACCGGAGGAGAGGGCAACAAGACGGCGTCGTGACTCAGGAACACACGGACCAAGGAAGTGCCTGGCCACTGCTGCTCCCACCTTTCAGCGGGCAGAGAAG